CAGCCAATCACAATTCTCGGCAGCTGGCTGCGGAGAGTGATCAATTTTACTAGGGCTTTCGGGCAGGCTCTTCTTCAATTATCTGCCTTATAAAAGAGCCGGCCACGCTGGCTACATGTCCGTACAGAATAAAATTAATCAGCCATTTAGTGTTTTTGTTTGGCAAATAGCCAATTGCCAATCATTATAATCCACACTGGTACTGTTGTCTGATGTTTTTGCAAAATGCCTGTTCAAATTTCAAAATGCCGTGGAGTTTTGACCCTGCTCATGTCACTCATAGAGTGCTCATTATTGAAGTCATCTTTATTGTCAGAAGTGCTGCAGCTATATTGTGCAAAACAGGCCTGCAAATAATTATTTTCATGGTCTTTTTCATATTAGCATGATGTATTTCGGCTGGTCATGATGACCTGCAGTGCATCTAAAACTGAGTATATATCTACCAGTCCTACTGCATTTTCAGTAAATTATTGTACAGGTTAGACATAACTTTAATTTCTACCATGTTATAAGAAGACGATTTATATTTGTAATTAAATCTTATGGCTTAATGCAGCCAAGAAAATGGAAGAGTGTTGTGTATATTGCTTTGGTTTCATTATGGTTTGAAATTTTTGTAACTTGTTACAGTCACAAATTTCCAAAAAAGTAACCAGTCACTCAAAAAAGCAACAACCACATGTAACTAGCCACCTCGTGTAAACTAGCCACCTTGTGTAACGAAGCCACCCACAGTACTGAACTTGTGCGGAAAAGTTAATACCCAGTGCTGAATGGTGTACTTAGGACACTGTTAATCAAAACACTTCTGTATTTATTGCATGAAGTGTGATGCACCTTTGCATAAACAAAATAATAATGGAATGCCTCACTAAATCACTAAAATTCTTATTTTTCTTTTGCAGCTACAGCTGATATGACGAAATGCAACTTAGTAACCAGGATGCGATAATTTGTGTACCAACGTACCAGAGGTATGCCAAAATTACGGTCTGGTACTTCTTTGTTTTTAGCCGAGTACCACATAGGTACACGAGAATTTGCCATTTGCGTACTTAATTTTCCTTCTAGCAATTAAGCAATAAGTAGCAAACCTTCCAAGGTATTCAAAACTGTCAATAACCTTAGCTGTGTATGTAAATTCCACACATCCGACATATTTTGGGATCGAACAAGGTTGTTAACTTTGTTATAAGTGTTTTGGCGCCTACGTAGTAGACGCTATATGCTATCGACTACTAGAGTGGAGGATTCACTAATTCTCGAACATTTCGATGAGGTTAGGCTGTTAGCACCTTCAGTAAATCTACTGTAACTGAGTGACGGCAGTTGAGTCACATTAAAACTTTGTTTCTGCAAAATTGTCCATTGTTTTTGCTTTTAGACTGGTCAGTAAACCATTCAATGTGATCTAAACGTTTTTAGGCTGTTGGAAATCTTTTATAAGTTTTATTTCCTGTTATTACTTTGTGCTTTTCGAAGACGTATCGTTTATATTTCTCTTTCGACACACTTTAAATAATTAATTGATTAAAATCATGTTATATACAAATAAAAAATCTTTAAAAACTACAATATTGGCGGTAAAATAAATCGATTTCGCTGTAACACAGCCTCTTCAGTACTCTGCCATCTTGTTTTTAAACGATATTATGTACTTCATGTAGTTAAAATAGCGCGTTGAAACTTTATGTAACCATCAACTTAGTGTCTCACTCTTCACTCTATTACTACTCGGGGAATTTTAAAATAATTCCACTCGGGTTTTTGAGTTCATCAATTCGCCTTTCTTTATCTTGTTCATCTTCACACTCTCCAATATCTGTCTTATCGCATCATTGTCATACCTCCCTGTCACATTCATCTGAAATGTTTGCACCTCACCATCATGCTTTTCCTTACAATGTTTCTATAGAGTAGATTGTTCCCTTTTCCCTTCATACATCTTGACATGTTCCCCTCCTCTGACATACGCACTTCTTGACGTTTCGCCCACATAAACATTATTACAGGTATTGCATCGTATATCATAAGTCACTCCATGTCCACCACAAGGTCCTTTTCCTGTCTAGTATGTACAACAGGGGGGAAAGGACCTTGTGGTGGACATGGAGTGACTTATGATATACGATGCAATACCTGTAATAATGTTTATGTGGGCGAAACGTCAAGAAGTGCGTATGTCCGAGGAGGGGAACATGTCAAGACGTATGAAGGGAAAAGGGAACAATCTACTCTATAGAAACATTGTAAGGAAAAGCATGATGTTGAGGTGCAAACATTTCAGATGAATGTGACAGGGAGGTATGACAATGATGCGATAAGACAGATATTGGAGAGTGTGAAGATGAACAAGATAAAGAAAGGCGAATAGATGAACTCAAAAACCCGAGTGGAATTATTTTAAAATTCCCCGAGTAGTAATAGAGTGAAGAGTGAGACACTAAGTTGATGGTTACATAAAGTTTCAACGTGCTATTTTAACTACATGAAGTACATAATATTGTTTAAAAACAAGATGGTGGAGTACTGAAGAGGCTGTGTTACAGCGAAATCGATTTATTTTACCGCCAACATTGTAGTTTTTAAAGATTTTTTATTTGTATATAACATGATTTTAATCAATTAATTATTTAATGTGTGTCGAAAGAGAAATATAGGAGATATGTTTTCGAAAAGCACAAAGTTATCAAGCTCTGGTATATTCCTGTTATTAGCAATCCATTAAAATATTTATCATGAACTAACTAAATGAGAAAATGCAGAGAATTTAGTTTTATGTGTGATATATGCGTACCAATAAACGTATTTATTAAATATATAAAATTCGGAAAGGTTTAATTTCTCCCGTCAAAGACCGTGCATTATATACGTATGTGCATGTAAAACGCAAGACTTGGAAGTAGCCTTAGGTTCACCTTGACTCAAGTTTGTGCCAGCTCAAGTATAGGCCGTATTCCCCATGGTTACAAGAGATTTTTGAGGTGGGCTGACTTGCCAAAACAAATCACTGGTCTCACTGCTATAAATAGTATAATATAATATATTTTTATTTCTCAAGATCTCGCCTAGACAGGCCAGTTCCATATAAATGCAAGGTGAATATTAGTTTAACCCATTGAGTCGCATTGCGCCCTGATGCGCCCTACTTTATTATTTTACTCTGTCTAACGCCATATTATTTTACTCTGTCTAACGCCAGACGATTTTACTCGTCAAGGGGAGAGCGCTGGCTCTTAATGGGTTAACTGGCCTATCTGCCCATGTGTTTATTTAACCCATTGAGTCGCATTGCGCCCTGATGCGCCCTACTTTATTATTTTACTCTGTCTAACACCAGATGATTTTACTCGTCAAAGGGAGAGCGCTGGCACTTAATGGGTTAAATTACATAGTGACGTTAGATCTTGGCAACTTCAGCGAGCTAGCTCGGGTATCCGGGTATATTTAATGCCCAGCTATTATCCAAGATCTAAGGCATGGAAAAAAGAGTCTTGGCTAGGCAGACCAGCCCAACTGGAAAAAGGTTTATGTAACTAATGCATACTTTAAATTTCTAGTGCCTGCCTGGCCAAATATAAATTAATAAATTATCCCTTCTCCAGTTGGCAATGAGTGGCAGCTCAAATAGGATTAGAGCTTAAGGTGATGATGTATCATGACAATATGTTGTTAAACCTCAAATGGCTTGATCAATTCATGTTTCCAGGTTGCATGACTTTGACAATTGCTTGTGTGAACATAGTTTTTTGCTTAGTACCAGCACGCCCATGCTTGCCTCAACAGTCTCACATAAATTGAAAAACCAAGCAAACTTGTTGTATTGTAGCTGTAATCAATTGGGGCTATGTCCTGTACGGCCACCATTTGCTACTGTAAATACTTTAATAACAATAAAGTGATTTAAAAAATATGGCTAATCTAGGCTGGGTTAACTCCACATAAACAGACCAAAAGTAGGCTGTCAATCTGTCCTAGAGTGAAAGACATCTTCCAAAAGTTTTTATTTATAAAACTCAATGTCATGATAGCAAAAATTTTATTATAATGCAAGAAAATGGAACTCGTTATGAGCTAATTTGAATTGAGCTAATTTGATTGAGGTCATGAATGAGCTAATTTGATTGAGGTCAACTGCTACTAATGGGCAATGGTCTATTTGTGTTAATAAATTATCTAGGTCAGTAGGTGACTAGGGTCTATATAAACATTTTATACTAAACAACAAACAGGTCTAACATTTATTAAACAACAAATATATTGTGCTCCTTATTCATTGTTGACAAAAATTTCAAAGAAAAATTGCCAATTCACATTGTATTAAGGATAAAATTATGTGCATAATTTCAGTAATATAAAATAAAATAAACAACTTTACCAAGACCAAGTCAAGTGTCGAGTGAGTCTTTGTGGATATACTGATATATAGTGACAGTTTTTGCAGTTTCACATCAAAGTGAGGCAAAAAAAACAAAAGTTGGTGCAATAAAGAATAGTAGATTAGTTCCTGATTACTTACAAACATGTAACAGTACCTTTCGCATTTTAATATCGTGGAAACAAAACTATATTTTTATTTATTTCTGTATATTTTTCTCAGAAGAATGATAAAAATACGTAATATCGCGTGCAACCCATGCTAAGAGACTTGAACTAGTACAATAACTGTATATAACATGAAGTTTCCTGAACAAAATGGCGGAAATTTAAATAAAAAATGTTGATGTTTGATCGTAAAATACAAAAAAACTGCAGGTTTGTGTATAGATTCATGTAAATTTAAAGTAGTGCCCGAAGGGGGGCAACAAAATTGAACGAAAAGCGGTCAGGGAATACGGCCTAGTACTCGACAAAAATCGTTGGAGTACACTACCAGTTAGGTACGGCTAAAAATATTGAATTATCAACTTACCATTTATCTTTTGACATAGCGATAAGGAGCCGACTGACGACGACGCATTTGACGTTTGAAAAATTTTCGATATTTTCTATCAAGTATGGAATCTATTTCGTTTTCATTCAGGTATGTACCATCCCTTAAAAACTGTGCCTCCATTTTCGCTAAATCTTGAAGTTCGACACTACAACTTACAATTTTTCTTTTGATATAACAGTAAGGAGCCGCCTGACAACTACGTACTTGACGTTTAAAAAATTTTCGATGTTTTCTGTCAAGTATCGTATCTATTTGGAAGTCATTCAGGTATGTATGATCTCTTAAATATTGTACTTCCATTTTTTCACATTGAAAATGAAGCGACATTTTGAAATTCGACCGTGAAGTGACCTGGAACCTAGTCAATATTCACTAGGAAATACAGTGCATTCCTAGTTCCTATAGCACGCTAAGTTTAAAATAACTATATATGTATACAAATTTCTTGCCTTTCGCGTTCTTTTGCCCGATGGATCGAAGCCAAAATCAAGTTATATTCTTCAGCTTATTGTAGTGTTTTATAGCACGCAATAACACATCGATTTGTATAACATTTTATTATTCTTTGGTTAATAATATAGCCTGGAAACGAGGCAGGTGTAAACTTTTCATGAAAATTAATAATTAACAAGTAATAGTATGGTTTCTCGTGCAATTTGGAAAACATACACTCGTGAGTTTTTCAAAGACTTCAAATTGCACTCGTCCTTCGGACTCGTGCAATTTTGATCGTCTTTAAAAAACTCACTCGAGGTCTAAGGATGGCTACGCCTTCCTGCCATCCTTAGACCTTCTTAAGGAGGTCTAAAAGGAGGTCTAAGAGTGGCTAAGGAGTTCTAAGGAAGTACAAGGATGGCTATGGAGGTATAAAGATGGCTAAGGAGGTCTAACAAGATCTAAAGAGATCTAACGATGGCTAAGGAGGTGTAAAGATTTCCAGTTACACGGTGATATAAAATTCGTGTACAGAGTATAACAACATAACTTTTTGCCCCAAGTTGTAATTCCTCTCGTGTGATAAAAACGCACTAAACATCTGTCAATTGCCGTTCGTTTGAAGATTTGGATCTCTGCTATATGTATTGGGGTTTGTTTCCTTGTTTCCATAGTTAATTGGTGCATAATATTTAGGTTTGTATTTCTCGTCTTCAATCATCTTGGGCGTCAATTTCTACCACTTATCAATCCCTTTTCTTTATACTTGCACCATACATGCATGCAGTATGTTCATCGTTATGTTACAGGTTTACTATACTATTTCATAGTCGCGTGTGAAATTCTTGAATTATTCTTTTAGAAATTTATGTTGGTATTCTAATCAATAACATAACTGCTATTTCAAAGCCTTTGAATTTGATACAATTATTATATTTATGTTTCTCGTACTCTTTTAAGTTTTGGGTATACAAAATGCAAAACGTTACTTATTGTTTTAAATCTTAATGGTCTTTTAAAGCTTTCAGCTGGTGAGAATTTAAAGGTAGCCTTAATGACGTAGTTAATCATGGTTGATCATCAAATGCGATGACGACACATTACGCAGATATTGACAGTGCTCTTAGAAGAACTAAACGCTATAGTTTTTAAAAACAGTAAAATAGTGTACTTTACAGTTCTAATCTCAGAGTGCTATAATGGTACAACTATGCCACTGATTAAGACTGGATCAAAACGTCAAATTCAAGGATTGAAGACATATTCTATATTCACGCACCTGGCTATTAACGTATAATCGTGGTGGGATGAAGTCTTGTGCTCTAAAATTCCACTCATGTTGACGCTTGATGATAAGAGCCCTTCTGAATTCGTTCGTTCTCGGTTCAAGTTTTCTCAAATACTCAGAAAGCGGTTCGCATTAGCCAAGAAATACCAAGACTAAACTGTCAGGCTCCAACGGTGTATTGTTTGACATCTAAGATCTATCAACTCAACCGTGTTCCCAACAATCGAAAATAGAGCCCATGCAGTCAATCTTTTCAAATTCGCATTTATCATATGTAAAATATGACTACTGCTCCTGGACGTACGCGTATGGTTAAAAGAAGTCTTTGTTAAAACGACTGTTCTGGACGGAAGAGCTGATTTATATAGTTATAAGACTCTTGTCGCTTTTCTTCACTAGTAAGACTATTCTGAATCGGGAAATAAAGATGAAATGTGGTGTAAATTAACTGCAGACCACAAGCTGAGCGACACAAAAAGCATGATTTAATGTATTTAAATAATTCTCATAGTGAGGGGTTTGCTGTAATGCCTAATGGGAGATATTTTTCTCTTGCTGGGCATCTATATTATCTTTGAATTTTGCTATACAGGGTGCACAGCTGCAGAGTTCCTTCGCTGTTTAAGCCGTATTGCTAAATTTAAATTTTACTCTAGCTCTTCTCATGTATATATAACCTGTGTACAGGCTGTATTATGCTGGGATACAGCCTAGTTCCTCGCCTTTTCGCTTCCGCCTTACTATTTTAGGGTGGTATTTTGACAAAGTTTGCAGGTACGGTTTTAATAACTGTGTGAAAATTCGTGGCTGCGCTACCCAGATCTGGGTAGTTGATTCTGATCGGTCATAGTTAAAACTCAGTAGATTTGATTGGCTGAGTTGAAAGGTCAACAAAGTTCTGACATTTCTGGCTAACGTAAACAAATCATATCACGCTCAAGAATTGTCGTTATTTTCAACTCCTTGTTGCATTTCATTTGTTCCTATATCATAGGATGTCATATTAATCTGCAATACATTTTGGCATCGAAAATTTAGTAGTTTGAAGCACAGAGAGAAGTAAAATTTAGTTTTAGCCTGCGAATGGGTTTTGAAAAAAAATTTTCTAGACTTTTTCCCACCAACAGGAGGCAACAATGAATCAAGTGTCAAGAAAATATTCTTTCGATTTTGAAAATCAAAGTCCAACGGTCGATGATATTTAAGTCCAGCCAATCAAAACCATTAGGTTCAGTCGAGGCCAATCAGAGTCGACTACCCACGTCTGCGTAGCGCTGTTGGGGGGGGGGGGGGGGGGGGGGGGGTCGAAAAGCAATGCCAGGAATTTTCAGAGACTGTATTAAAATACAGTCTCTACATACGGCTATTCTTAGTGATAGAATTTCCTTAAAATAATCCCATGGCATGGTGCTGAGCGATAATAACTTTTTGCCCAGTTAATACTGCGGACAAACGTGAAGCGCATGCGCGAGTCTACGAAAATGGCGGAAGTAAATAAGGGAAAAGAAAGGCATTAATTTACTGCAAGGAAACGGCTAAAGGTATAATCCCGGGAATTTCATCGCTTTTTCCTTCTGATAAGAAGAAGTTATACTTAGTTTACACTTTCGCTATTTTCTTTACACTTTTTGCTAGAGCTTCGTGCAGACAATACTGTTTCCAGCCTTTCAAACGACTGGGCCTGGGGACGAGTCAGATTTCGAATACCAGCAGTGGACGTTTGAAGAAATGAAATGTTTGAGGGAACGGACTCAAGTGTTTAACACTGAGTCAGTTTAATTGACCTATACAAAATTCCTACTAGTACTGTGATCACAGAAACTTTGATATTCACAGAAACTATATGCCCACCTCGAAAACGTTCATAAATGGCTAACAGCCAACAATTTAACGTTGAATACAGAAAAAATATATACGTTGTCTTTGAATACAGAGTTGGATCTCGGCAAAAATTAAATGATATGCCCAGTATTCCACACATATATAGTCAATGGAGGTCAGACAATAAATCAAGTACCAGACAAAAAAGTTTTAGGGGTTATAATTGATGATCAATTAAGGTGGCATGATCATAACGATGCACAGTGTAAAAAAAATTCAAAAGGTATATAGCTCTCTTAAGAAGAGCAAAGCCTTTTCACTTTTGTGACACGAGATACATTACTAACAATGTACAAATGCAAATACCTTCTTTTACCACATTTTACATATTGCTCGACTGTATGGTATAATGAAACAACTCACAGATCTACGAAAAACGTCGAAAACGAGCTGCTCGGGTGATAACAAATTCAAGTTATGACATTAAATCACTCAACATATTTGATAACCTAAAGTACTTTTACTAAAGGGGAACAAAGAATGACCTTTAAGGCATTAAGAGGCATGGCCATATGGTACGTACAGTCCAAGAAGCAATAATCGAAAGCTGCCTTTACCTTGAAGATAAACCAAATACAAATTTCTTAAAACGTATAGTTTTTCATATCGAGGAGCAATGTCATGGAATAGTCTACCACTCGAAATCGTGGGTAAATACGGCGATTTGTCAATCGAATCATTCAAAAGACTTATTCACTATAGTCCCGATTATAGATATATCGTTATCGCAAAATATTTATTAGTTTTGTACGTGCATCATTCATCAATGTAAATACTAGTTTTTATTAGGCAATTTGTTCATGCATTGTATTTTAATTTTTACACGGCTCTTTGGAAACCAGGAAACTGAAAGACCACCATGTATGTAAATAAATTTAATAATAATAATAACTATAGCATTGTTCGAGAGTCGAGTTAGCATTTCGACCGTCGCGGGTCCAGCCGTAACAGGCTGAATTTTCTGGTTATAGCATCAAGGTTAGGATTAACGTTGAGATCAACGTTGAGATTCAGATTAGGGTAAGGATTGAGTTAGAAATTGTAAGAACTTCTACTATGTCACCACCAATTGTTGTGGTCACAGCAGCGAAACCAGGGCCTATTCTAAGGAAATCTCAATACTGCACACTTCATAGCAGGTGTCATCATCTTTGAATTGTTATGTATTTATGTAGAACATAATGACAACATACAGGGTGTCCCCCCAAAAGTAAACTCTTTCAAATTCAAATCAGCCATAACCTATTGAAGTAATTCGCTGATGCAACACAAATGATCCTCGATGATATAGCTGTCAAATTACCACAATAAATTACGGTTAATTTGAATTTGAAAGAGTATACTTTTTTGAGACACCCTGTAGATAGCCTGCATGGCAGGCGGTCTAGGCTTGCCCGATTTTAGGGACCGCCTGCCATGCAGGCTACCCTGTAGAATGACAACATGACTTTTTCCTGGGGCATAGTCAGATGAGCACGTATTGTTGTAAAATATTGAATATTAGAATTATTACTGGAACTTGGCATATATTTGGCCAATCTTTGTTTGTGCCTTTGCTCATTTTGTTGCAAAGGCATTTTGGAATTCTCGACTTTCTATTTCATCTACTTCGCTCCTTTAGCACATCTTATACAAAGTTGAAATTTATTTCAAACTTGAAATTTCAATACTGCACACTTTCGCATTCAATACTGCACACTTTTTATCCAATACTGCACAAAGTGTGCATAAAATAGGCCCTGAGCGAAACGAACATATATGGTGATAACATGAAATGTGGTCACAGCAGTGAAATGAACATATGGAAAACCGACTTACAATTTACAAAAAAAGCTTTTTAACAGCGCTGAAGACTTTCTATTAATGCATTTATTCAGGCAAAATCTTTCTAGTAGACTTTGTTTTTAGTTTTTTCTTATTAAAATGGCAAGCGAGATCCCTGAACTGGTCTCGCGAGAAAATCGCGAGGTCAGAAACCTTTCATTATTTTGAGCATCATGATAAGATCACGACGATGCAGAATTTTAGCGATGAGCAACCATTTCAATTTAGTCAATAGTTTATCCAAATATATTATTAGTAATAATTTATTATTATTTTCATAGATTGACAAATACCATTATGAAGTTGAAAAAGCCCGTATTAGCGCACTGTTTGCACGGGAAAATACAAACACCTGCTAAGGAGAAAGAAGATGTATTATAAAGAGGGTGAAACAAGAAGGGCTATTGAAACAGAAAAGGTTTGTTAGTATACCTTTTTCTTTTCGGCAGTGCAGGAATATTATTTTGGAGTGGCCAAATGGAATCGAAAGACTTGAATGATTCGAGGATTGTGAGTTCAAAAATCCCTAATTAGTCGTCGTGTACAAGGAATAACTTCCTTTTGCATATACTCGGGAGGTGGAAAGTGCTTTTCACGCAATTTGATTGGTTGCTCAGTTCTGGATATTCTTGCACTATTCAGCTCCGGACAAAACCAAAAATGGCTTTCCGTTTCGTTCCGGTTGCAGAGGAACTCATTTTTGTACTAAACGAAGTCGAAGTTGCCGTTTCGCCAAACACAAAGAAAGCCACGACATTTTGTTTAACTGTGTGTAAGGTATTCTTTAAAGCTGTTTCTAATGAATAAAAATAATAAAATTTCCAAAAACGTGTAAATACTGTTTTGTTTACAAGTTGCAACTATTACGGGAGCTGAAATACAAATTGTTTTAAAAATATTTTCGTCGTTTTTGGTCATTTTTGTTTTGTTGTGGTACTGGTAAAACAATTATTCACCTCAGTGTCGGTATCCTTGCACTATTCACCTCCACTTCGGTGAATAATTGTTAACTGTGCTGCTGGGACGATATAAATATGGAAACTGGTAAAAAACTGCATTCTTGAGCTCTATTCTGGCAGCCCGTAGAAACGAGTTAACAACTTCAATTTGTTTGTGTGTACGGCAAAAATTGACAACTTTTTCTTTGACAAAGAGCCTTGTCTAAGTTCAACGCTAGTCATGCGTAATTGCGTACAAAGTGCGCACCAGGTCACTGCGCACTCATCTTCGAGCGGTTATGCATTGCCATTTGAAAAGTATTAAATGAGACAATTGCTATTTCCATTTTAAGTTTCTAGTACAACAGGGGCTTCGGTGCCGCAGTCTTCAGAGCAAGCGTCTTTCACCTCTGAGATCGTGGGTTTGATTCTCGCTATGGACTCATGTGAAAAGAGTCAGTCAATGCCCTGCCGAAAATCGTTGGTTTTCTTTGGGTGCTCCGGTTTTCTCCAAAAGGGAAAGTTGACAGGGTGGGTTAGGATAAACACAGTAGAAAAGTAATCACAATTGTTGCAAAGATAAATAGTCTAGGCTAAGTAGGTAATATAAGTAAGCGTAATACTTGATGTAATCGGTCACCAAAAGGCCCCAATGGGGGGAATAAACTGAATGTATGTATGTGTGTGTATGTATGCATACAACAAATAACATAACAATCACTGTATAATATAAGTTTAATTAGGGCGTGTTAAAGTTGCAAATTCATAAAATTAAACTCGCTAACCGTAGGATAAAATTTAAACGCTCCAGATATAATCGATTTCCTCGATTATTTATTGACTATCATTAAGACCTATGATTGCTATTATCAAATTTTCTCCAATACATCCGTCTTACAGAATGCACACGAATGGACTAAATTGTCTCCTTTGGAACTGCCAGACGGATAACTGTCTCTGTCTGGAAATTCGTTGTTAAATGGCGGATTTACACGAGACTGGAACGAAGTCAAAGTTTGATTTCGTCCCGGTCTCATGTAGACGGGGCCTTACATTTATTTAAAAATGGTAAAAACCCTTCAGTCCACTTTACAAGTCTTACAAGAGCCATTTGCATGCGAAAATAGGCAACTACATCATTACATTGCATTTTATTACATTACATTGCACTGGACTATCGCATTTTTTGAACCAACCCGCCTATTGAGGACATGCATGCATTTTCAGTCCCTCCCCCTCCCCTGGAATTTCTGCAGATGAATGCATTTTTAGCCTTCCCCGTGAAATTTCAGCACATTTTTTTATGAAGTTCTAATCTATCCCATGGAAATTCCTTGATGGTTTCTGACCTAGCGGGTGGAATTTCCGTATCTGTTCCTTGATTAGTAGCTATCCCTTGGAGAATGTCTTGCTGAATTTTATCTATCCTTTGGAATTTTCTTTTTGTTCTTGACCAATCCCACCCAAGGAAATTCCATAAATTTTAGTAGTTTTTTCTACCCACCTGATCCTGTGGAATTAATTTCTGCAGATCTGCCTTAAAATTTGGACCCTCAAAATATCCTCAAAAGACAATAGGTGGTGCGGACAAAAAATTAAATAACATTGGTCAAATTTAGTGAAATTTCTCGTGCGAGCTCGTATTGTCAGCGGACATCTTACACAAAATGGTCAGTTCTGTACAAATTTCAATTTTTCACCGCAAGTCCGCTGCAAACTGCGAGCCTGCGGTACTGGGAGAAAATTTGCTGCATATGACCAGCGTAATGTCCCATTGCAAATTTGCATTGCATTATATTACATTCAGGCCCGTAACTAGCTACGAGTTAAATTAGTTGACTCGGTAAGATTTTTGTGAAAAAAAATTAAAATAGGAAGACTTCAAATTCAAAGAAGGAAATCAAATTCCGAATGGAATTTTTTTCTGTTACTGTTGCAGGGCTCGAAGCTCGATTTTCAGCTGCTTGAAACGTCAATATTTCGTGGGTGTACCCATGGGTTAGCGTCCCAAATATTACCACAAAAAAAAACACTTAAAAATGATCCACCTCATCATGTTCGACCAAGAATGAATATTTGTGATTCTCAGGTTTGACTATAAAATTTTAGTCATTTACTTTGTTTGTGAGATTGTGTTTTAGTAGAAACTGCTCTCGGAATGCAGGGAGTAGCGTTTCTAAAGCCTGTTTTCCACTTCAATCGTAACGTATCGTTGCATTTTCTTTTGTGTCAAAGTTATTAATTCCACTAATAGTGCTCAGCAAACAAAGAAATACGCTTCGGTACGACATGCACAGTTGAAATGGAAAAGGAAAACGGCCTAAAGTAAAAAATCTTTTTTGGGTGGAGGAGCAAAGCCCTAGCGCTAGTTACGGTCTTGACATTACAGACATAATCTATAAGACAGCCTACGGTACTGAGAGAGATACAGCTACCTGATCTTCGATGTTTCAAGCGATGACCCTTCGTTGAGAGGTTGGTAGTTAGGTAGGGTAAATATCGAGATTTTGTTCGGCATCTCACTCGATTCAATAATAGTTGAAGGGTCTTGTAGATGGAAATTTATGTACTATTTACAACATGACCGGCCGTGAGCGAGCCGAAGGCGAGAGCTTGTATATCCGATACAACACGAACGCGAATGTTGTAAATGGCTTAAAAAACGACTCATCTCATGAGTTCATTGGCGAAGTAATTTTAAAAATAATCGTTGTCTAAGCCGAGAAAATCAAAGTTAAAGTTTATGTAAATCAACATGAATCTGTATCACATATACAGATACGACACGCTTATGATTTTTCTTTGTGTTTTCTTCATGAATTATTAATGAGTTTTTTAATTACATTTAAAAAAATTCATTAATAATTCAAGAGGAGAATGCAAAAGAAATGAATGTTTAATCAATGTTTGTAAATCGGATAAAGATTTGTCCTGATTTACATAAACTTCAGCTTTGATTTTCTCGGCTTAGACAATGTTTATTTTTAAAATTACTTCACCAATGAGTCTAATAAATAATGGTAATTGCACTGAGTGGAGTACAATTTGGTCTGAAATCAAACGCGTGATTAATAAACAGTATTCAAAAATCGTTAATAATTCATGAGGAAACACAGAGAAAAATCATAAGCGTGTCGTATCTTTATATGCATGTGATAGAGATTTCCCTTGATTTGCATAAACTTTAATTTTCTCGACTTACACAACGCATTTTTTGAAAGTCAGTACTTCGCCAATGAACTTACTAGATCGATCGTTTTTGAAGCAATTTAAAACATTGTACTCGATCATTTCCATCTACAGGGTGTCCCCAAAAAAGTGACACTATAAAAATTATCCGATTTTTGTGTTACGGCCATTTGAATGCCTGAGCACTATGCTGAACACATGAGTGCGTAAAAACAATTGAATTGAATTTTTAATTACCAGGCGCATGAAATCCTGTGCTGAACAACAATAGAATAATTTCTATAGTGTCACTTTTTTGGGGGACACCCTGTACAAGATCAGGGTTGGTAGGTTTGCTGAACAATTAGGCCAAACACCGTCACACTAGGCCTTTGTTTTCTTTGTCTTGCCTCTTGGCCTTTTTTTTTCTTTGTTTTCTAAACGGTGCACTAATGACGATTTGGCCTAATTATTCGAGGGGTAAATTACTCTGAAAATCTTCGTACACTTCATCAAAAATCCAAAAAAATCTTTGGAAAAATCCCAAAATCTTACTAAATCCCAGAATCCCCAAATTCCAAGAAATCTCTAAAAATTGCATAAAATACTTGGAAAAAGCCCAATAAAATCCTCAAAATTATTGCAATATTGAGAAATCCCATCAAATTCAAACATTTGAATCGTGAATTGGCGTGAAAATGTCCTTCGTTGATTTACTTCGTTTTAAAACTAATTCGACAAATTATATGTCGCAAAAAATTTCGGAAAAAGTTCGGCGAAAAAAAATAAGGGGAAATATTTCGAAAAAATCAGCTGAAAAAAATCCCAAAACCCTTAAATTTCGGGAAAAAAATCCCAGAATCGAGAGAAAAATTGCCAGGATTTTCTAATCCCAAAAACATTCGTACGCTTTTTTCAGAGTAATTTACCCCTCGTAATTATTCATCTAACTTACCAACCCTGTACAAGACCCTTCAACTAGTTAGGAAGTTAGCCCGACGAGGGACCTTCGCTCGAAACGTCGAAGCTCTGCTTGTATTTTTTAGGTAGTTGTATCTCTCTGAATCCACAGCTATCTTGGTATCGTCGCTATACCTACACTGGCAGCGTTTGTTCGAGATTATATGCTAATAATACTGTTTACAAAAAGTCTACGGCATCATCAGACCATGGTCATAGTTGGCGCAGTTTAACTCGGGCCAGGACGCGAACGGACATAAACGATGACGTCGTGATACGACACATCACTTATAGCATTATTTGTGTTGGCGTACAAGCCATGCACGCTGCCATAATCCTTACCAGCAACTTTTATACCGACGCCAATCGCCTTCACGGATAAACTACAGCCTAGACGAAATTAAATTTAAAACTACGTGTTACTATATCGTTCAATGAGGGGGCGTATAGTAGCGAAGTAGTTGTAGTCTGATACTGTTGCAAATTACAACTTTCAAGTAGCAAGTAGTTTTTGACTATACTTTTACCGAAAACTGTATAGCTGTAGCGAGCTACACTGATAAAGTTGAGCTTAAAATATTTTTACGGCATTCTTAAATTTCGGAGTACAGTACCATAAGGTACTTTTGCAGCTGTTTGTAATATATACGTCAGAGCATAGCATATACTTTCAGGCTATCTTCACAAGGGGGAACGAGGAATGGAGGAACGGGGAATATCTCGGGGAATATCATATCCCCCCGTTTAAAGAATTTTAAAAGGTGGAATATTAATAACTTACTGACCGAGAGTGAGGGCAGTACGGGAAAATATCCAACCGAGGTCTTGCTGTATTGAACGAGCGATAGCGAGGTCAATACAGCAAGACCGAGGTTGGATATTTTCCCGTACTGCCCGAACGGTTGAGGTCAGTAAGTTTTTTTATTATATGGCATTGTACGTTTGTAAAAAATGGGTAAAAAAGGACACGCGAGGGCAAAGTACAAAGTCCGAAACATTTGCAAGAAAGAACAATTGTAAAAAATGTTCTCAAGCTTGGTTAGTAAAACTACTCTACAGCAATTTTTATATAGAATACTAACACAGTTGGATAGTATTTCAAGAAAAATACGAGGTATTTCGTCATTTAATCAAAGACAAAGACAACAAATATGAAAACAATAAAATTAATAAACAGTATGGACAAGTACGGTTTTAGTTCGCTTCATCTCATAAATATATCTCTTTTTATCGAAAAACCCCAGAAATTTTCAGGGAAAAAATATAAGTCTGTGGCTGCTTTAGTTGTATTTTTTATTTAGGATGGTGTCAAATTCCTCGGCTATCTGCAAATAAGATTTGCAGCTCTTCACAAAGTCAAAACACAGCTATTCCTGACTTCTTTAATAGTTATAAACATTGTAAAATTTACCTTGTAATTTCGACTTTCGCTAACAAAAACATATTGAGAAAGTTCTTTATCCAAAGAAGGTGCTCCTTTTCTTTAGTTTAGGTTTATTTTTCTTCGTTTTGAATAGTTTTGAAAGACTTTTAGACACTTTTTGCCGTTTGAAACTCGGCTCTTGTCGCGGGGCAAAAAAATTGCGTATTGCCCGTGGGCAATACGGGAAAATCCTGCCTCGTCAGCAGCCAATCAAATTGCGCGATTCATCAAAACAAATGCTTGCCATATAATAAATGGGGAATAATATCATATTCCCCCTTTTAAAGATCTTTGAAAGGGGGAATATGATATTCCCCGAGCTATTCCCCGATATGCTCGATTTCCCGTTCTTCCTTTTAAAGATAGCATATACTTTCATACTCTGAAAGATGTTCTTTTAACGATCTTGGATGTATTCTTAGTAAATTCTTAAAATTTTGCCTATTTCAGCCTTAATATTCTTATAAACGAGATTAATGTCTCAAGCTTTACGTCTTTCCAGGCAACGCCCAAGACGAATTGAATTCGAAGCATGCAAAATTCGACGTTTCAAAATTTGTTTGACACGGGTGTTGAATTTTCCATTAATTCAATTTGCTTAAATCTAATGCGAATTGTATTCGACATATACAGCTGATTCAAAAAAGGTTGTAAACCTTAAACTCAGGCGTGCAAAGCATAATGGGAGCATCATTTAATCAGTTTATAGAAATCATATAATGGGCCCATTTCGTAAAGACATGGTAAATATTTCCTTATGAAAACAATTCATTTACAAATAGCTGCAACATTCATTCTTGAAACTTGTGCTCCCATTAAGCTTTGCGCGCTCAGAGTTTAAAGTTTAAGGTTTAGAGTTTAGGGTTTGCAAAGGACAACCTTTTTTGAATTGGCTGTATATGCAAAATGCATTGAACAAAATGCGACTTTTGAACCAGGCCTTACTTACCCGCGTGAGGAACCACGCTGACAACCCCTAAACGAGCACGAACAGAATTTGGATCCCCCACGTTGAAACCACTTTTAAAACAACCGTTAGTGAAGTTAAGTTGCGAGGCATCGATTTTGATACCATCAATCCATTGTTGTATAGGTATTTCCAATGTGATGTTTTCGAAAAATAAACTGCGCAGCGACGGACCTATCACGGGAAGTTGAATACCAAATCCAGATGAGGTTAAGCACACCTCAGTCACGTTAGCACTCCAGAAATGTGAATTAAATTGAGTCTGGTTTTCTCCTTTTGCAGTCCAAACTGCAGAGTCGTAGCTCGTGTCGTTCTAGAATAACGAGAAATTGTAACACTGCTGATGAATTTTTTTCACAGAGCAACGATTTTAAATTTTGGCAATTTTAAGGAGCCGTCTCAAATAACTAGAGAGTCTGATCACGACAACGATTCAACGAAGTACGATGACGAAGACATATTTAAAATTTTTGTCGTCTGCACATTATCTTGCGTCAAACTTTTTTTTTCAATATGGCGTCAAACTGAAGAGGCTGAGAATCAGCGAAATATATTTTTTTAATATGACATACTTTAAAGTCTATTTCCTTGCTTCGGCGAATAAAATTGTCGAGAAAAGACTCGTGTCTCGCTGTTTATGAATACCATCGAACTATAAGTAAACTGGGACTCCTATGATAAAGGCCTATGTTTGGGTGAAACCAAATTTCGGGCGCTCAAGTATAGCCTGTTCGCAGGTATATGTATACGAAAATAAATACTGATTTTTTTTACGAAGTGTTTTCACTAATTTAATCCTTAATTTTAAGTTTTTTTAACTTTAGTTATTAAGGTACGTTTCTCAATGTGTGGACATCCATTAACAACTGTATCTAAGATTTTTCTACATAAATTGTATAAAATTGTTTTTGAACTCTTCCTGGAAAATCTAAAAACTCAGAAGGTCTCAGAAAAACCATAGACATAGTCATACATTTTCGCTCGGTTTTTTGCCGAGTTTCGTTTTGTCCGTGTCATATTTCGACGGATAAACAATATTTACATATTTTATCAGGGTTCGTAGCGGTCTTTGAAATCCTTGAAAGTCTTTAAATTTGAACGCAGGTCTTTAAGGTCTTTGAAAAGTCTTGGAATTGTGTGAAAAAGCGAAGAAAGTCTTTAAATTCTTTATTGAGTATTTGATTATACGATTTCCTAGCTAATAAAATAGATGGATTGAAGCAAGATTTTTTGCAGATATCGACGAAAAGGCGCATTTTAGGATGTGATTTGACGGGACTAATTACTGGGTAAAAATGGTGCTTACGTACACTCGCAACTTTTCGGCAGCTGATTGCCTTCAAAGGTCTTTGAAAAGTCTTTGAAAATAGGCAGAATAAATCTTTGAAAGTCTTTGAATTTCAGTTTGGTCTTGGAGACTACGAACCCTGACATATATTATGTGCCTTAGATAAAAGTTGTGTTGTCCAAGTGTGCTCTACGATAAATATAAATTCCGTTGAAAAAAGTAAAAATGAGAAAATATTAACGATTTTTAAGCTGTATTTTTCGCATCTATTTTGTAAAAAAGGACTGGGGCAGTGGGGCTACCTGCAGAAAACGCTCATGGCCGGCTTCAAAGATGATGGCGGCGAACTTATAGTTCAATGATGAATACTAACCCTAATTCTTATCCTGACCCTATACATCCTCCGGTCGCTACGACCCTGGGTGTAAACGAAAATATTGCACTAGAGGTTTAGTGGAGGGGAAAAATATTGCAGAGGTTTAGTGGAGGGGAGGGGGGCAACGGCTCTGGAAACGTCAGCAGTCCATAGTCCACAAAACATAGTGTTTCCCGAAAGTCACAGTCAATAAGTATTTTTTTATTATATACCAAGTGTCAAAGAAAATAACTCGACGATATTCACAGGCGAATAAAAATAATGTCCACCGCTCAGAGCTTTTGCCAGGAAACAATCAAATTTCGTGACTTTTATACCAACTTTGACTATTGGTATATAATAATTAAACTGATTTAATTACAGTGTTTTGGTTGCTAAACAAATCCCCTATGTATGTCCATCCACTCCCTGTGCAGTCTGTTTCAGGAATCGCCACGCCACCACTATGGCATCCTGTTTCTTCATAACCAACGCTGTTTCTTGATTTAATTAAATAACTTCCATCATTTCCACTACAAAAATGAACAACAAAAGATAAGCCTAGGCGGAATTCTTGCATCTTTTCCTGGAAACCTGCTTGGCTGGGAAGGGGAATTCGCCATATTCCAGCCAAGCGGGCTACGTAAAACAAGGGATGCGTGTATATGCTCAGTATACGCGGCAGCCCCGTGGACGCACAGCTTCCGACGGCTGCATATAGCATACATCTCTTGTTCTCTCGTTTTTGCAAGACGTTTAATGAGCTCGGTGATTATTGGGGAACATTCACCGAGACAAAGTCGATCGCGAAGTGAATCTTCCCCGATACTCACCGAGCATGCATGAGGCAAATATTAATTGTTTTAGTATGTTTACACAAATCTTTTGTGTCTCTTTGGGACTGAATTTATTTTACTTTCGCTTATTTCTTTATCCGTGATTTCCACAAAACGGCTAGTCGCTATTTTGTAAACTAGTTTTTTCTGTTATATTCACCTGTGGTCGTGGGTGAATATGAGGGAATGTCAAGATGGCCACCAGTTTTTAAGATCATTAAGTAAACCCTAATACTAACGCAAACTCCTATTTCAATTTTGGAACCATCTCGTAAACTACCTCTCGGCCATCTCTTTTAGACATTACCATTTATTTATACAAGCACTTAAAAGTTAAAGAGTGAGTGATGATGCCAGTGATCCTTTGCACACTTGTGTCTACATTTTCTGTTTTCACTCTGCTGTTCTCATGAATATATTATATACCTGCATTACAAACATTTTGCATAAAAAAACGCAACATTCCACAAGATATAATGACTTATACTTCGTTCAACGGAAGAAATTTAGTTGTTTTTCAATAGAATTCATTGAACATTTATTTAAATTTACGGTAAAATCTTCAGTGTAGGAACTATTTACAATAAATGTTACATGCATCTACTAAACTAATTTTAATACTAAATACTATAAAAACACACTGATTTCCAAGATTGCCGTGTGGGAATCCCATTATGGTGGCGACAAAAATCGATCGGTTTCATTTTTGAAATGCCTTAATGAATTAGCTATACGTGCAGAATGAGGGAGCGTAGTATTCCCAGCCTGAGCTCCACCTTTGAATTTTCTATATGAGTAAATTGTTAAACACGTCCGAATTTATCAATATAATAAATTCGCGACACATGTTGACCCCTAATCTAACCCTAATATAATCTTAATCTAATCTTAATCTAACCCTAATCTTAATCTGACACTAATCTGAACTTGATGACCTTTTTTTAGTAATCTTTTTTTTAATAATCAATCTTTTTTTTAATAATCTCCTCACTTCGGCTCGACCAACCCTTCATTTCAGTATTTCTTAAGTTATAGTCTGTACTGCGAAATGAAAACAAACTTTGCAAATACTCAGGCGCTAGTTTATTGATTGTTTTGTACATCAATATAGACTTGTGCTTTTCTCTACGTAATGATAGATTCAATCAATCAATCAAACTTTATTTTAACACGGTGAAATCTACAGTATAACATTTTACAAGACGATGTTTATAAAAATTGGTTTGACTATTTTTACTCAACAGTTAAAAAGCATATTCCAAATAGAATAGTTGTAATACGTCCTAACGATAAACCATGGATGACATGCGCTGTAAGAAGTGCAATTCGTAAAAGAAATAGAATTTTAAAGCAATTTTCTAAGAAAAAAACTCGTTTATTGTGGAAGAAATATAAAGATCAAAGGAATTACACGACAACTCTGATTCGAGAAACAAAAATAAAATATTGTGATAAACTAAATATCCAATTATCAGATTTTCGTTTGGGCCAAAAAAAATGGTGGAGTTATGTTAAGTCAGTTTTTAATAATAATTGCCGTGTATCAATTCCAGTTATACGGGAGGGATCTCAGATTGTTTGCGATGCACAAAAAAAAGCGGATTTATTTAATGAATATTTTGTAAGTGAAGCGAACGTCGATGACACAAATCATGAACTACCAGTCTTAGATTATTATCCTAATCACACAGATAAAACGTTGTCTATAGTTCAAACAACAGAAGAAGAAGTGATTAATCTCCTCTATAAAGTTGATATTACAAAAGCTAGCGGTCATGATGGTATTGGCAATAGAATTATTAAATTATGTAGCCGCGGAATTGCCAAAACATTTACATATTTAATTAACACAAGTCTCCGAATAGGAGAGTATCCAACTGAATGGAAAAAAGCAAATGTAACTCCTGTCTATAAAAAAGATGATCATCAATATAAAAAGAACTATCGTCCCATATCACTTTTACCGTCCATATCCAAAATACCAGAAAAAATTGTATTCACTAGACTATATGAATTTTTATTAGAAATTAGATTCCTTAATGATTTTCAGTCCGGTTTTAGACCAGGAGACAGCACTGTGAACCAACTTACGTATATAGTTCATAAGATCTATGAAGCTCTAGAAATGGGTAAAGAAGTCCGTATGGTGTTTTTAGATTTTAGCAAAGCGTTTGATAAATATGGCATAAAGGTTTATTGTATAAATTAAAATCTCTTGGAGTAAAAGACCCACTTTTAAGCTGGTTTTGTAGTTATTTGTCTGATAGAAAACAAAGAGTTGTCATTGAGGGGCAATGCTCGAGCTGGCTGAGTGTTGAAGCTGGTGTTCCACAAGGTTCAGTGCTCGGGCCATTGCTTTTTCTAATATACATAAATGATATTTCCAGCAATATTGTATCTGACTGTTTTCTCTACGCTGATGACACATCTTTACTTGAAATTGTTGATAATTTATCATCTTTTGATTCTAGACTAAACGAGGATCTCAATAGCATTAACCAATGGTGTATGGAATGGTTGATGGAATTGAATCCTACTAAGTGCGAAAGTATTACATTTTCAACGAAACATA